TATACCCATGTGTAACATCATCAGGCAAAGCGCACAGGTGATGAACTGCTTGATTTATCCTCTAGGAATACACATTAGTACCAAAACTTTCTCAGAGAGCAGCATCCTGACGCCTCACTGTGATGCCTCAGGTTCCTGTCAGCACCGGAACTACTCATCCTTGACTTCCTGTCTACCCAGAATCCCCCTGAGGGCCGCCTACCTCTCCTCTGTCTCTCATTAAGGCTGTGAAGCAGATACAGATTGATGAAATGAGGAGTTACATAAGTTTTACTTATGCAATAAGACACTTCTATAAAACCAAGACATATTTCAAGGACATTTTGAGCCTGTAGATGGAAATAATAAACGTCCTGGTGTTTTTAAAACTGTAAAAAGACGTGTTTGATTCTTTTTTTCTTCTTCTGCTCTTACTAGAGATTATTTTTAACTCCACAACACAGCATGCCCCTGAACAGCGGTACCAAACACTGCTCCGATTAAACATTTGTAACAAACCAACCTGTTGAGTAATAATTTAATTTGTCAACTTAAAAAAATGAAATAAAATAGAAAAAAATAAAATAAAAGCTTTTTCTGCTTGCAATGTATTTACAAGATCTGCAGCTAAGCCTCAGCAAAAAACAGCAATACTGGTGAATTTTTCAAAACTATGGAGGCCCAGAACAGCCAAAATATATAAATGATGATTAATTTTAAAGTTATTTACCGTTAATGGCACCTAACATAAAATATATATTTTAAAAAATGTATACAGAAATTTAAATTGATGTTTTCAGATGTATTTTTTTTTATTATTTCCTTAATTTATTTACTTTTCCATTTAATTTATTTTTACATGTATTTGTTCCCTTTGTATTTCCCGTTTGTTTGTTTGTTTGTTTGTTTGTTTGTTTGTTTGTTTGTTTGTTTGTTTTGGGGGGGTTTGTCTCTTGCTTTATTTTTTTTCTGCTTGTGTATAAAGGTGATGTGGCTGCCATTCAAAGGGTATCGTGGGATTTACATGGCACCTGTTGGCTCATGTATACACATCTTACACTCCACACTGTCAGCTGGGGAAGCGTGTTTTGAAAAGAATAAGAGATTGAGCTTGTTTTTGATGACATTAGCTTGACCACATGCATATTTTCTTAAAATTATTATTATAAACAAATCAGGTCAGCAGCTAAATAGGACATATCCAGAACAAGGAAATCGCAGACTTACAACAGCAACACTAACAGAAAAACAATCATCGGAACAGGAGGACAGTAGGGACAGTGTGCAAAGGAGACCATTCTCATTCCCAATGTGCAACATACCGCCGATTTGTCACGACCCAAGGCGTCCCATAGGAACACGAAAGGTAACTTTGATACCCTGTGATACGCGCCGGATTGTGGATGCAATCCAATAGACTCCCGGCAGTAACACACATTCCAGCCCTAACCCTAACCTTAATCCTAATCATAAACACAATCTTAATCATATTAGATAGTGTTTTCCAAATTGATGATGAGAAAGTAAAATAAATGTACATGTGTTGATTCATTCCAAAAGGTTCTCATGTTTCCGAACGCGTAACATACAGACGGATGTGGTGACTGAAAGCGTAACATACTGAGGATTTGTCACGTAGCGTCGGTATGTTACCCTTTGGGATGAGAACGTGTTGGTGCAAAGACCCACTGTGTGTGGACGCTTAACCATGTTGCCTCACTGATCAACTAAAGGATGGGATAAAAATAAATGCTAATAGTATTTATAACAATACTTTAAGTAATAACTATAATCCTTGTCCTGCTATATGCTGGAATCACAAGTATACATATAGTGTTTTAACACCCAAATACCCACCTATGACAAGAAGAAAACAATATGTGTGTACATTTATACATACACCAATGCTATAAGGGCCTATGGGGGTGATTAAGCTTGGTGATCTAATAGTAAATACATTAGAGGATTACCTAGGCAACCATAACCTGGAACATCAAGTCTCTTTGGTGAAAGTCTTTTCCACCAGTGCGATATTTGAATTTGCTCCAATCATATTCCTATGCTAACGGCAGCTAAAATGACCATGTGTAATGTGACCAGCGTCACTTATGAATCCGCAAATAATTAACACTCTGTCTCTAACACGCTTTATATGCATGTTTGTGTGAGCCTCTGTTTTGTTCACCCTCATCATTCGTGTCAGTACCATCTCCCAACCACAGTGGGCAGTTCTTTTACAGATAATAAAAAACTTAAAAGAAAATTAAAATATGAAAAAGCTGGCAACAGTCTGTTGAAATTATCGGAGCCACTAAAGAGCTTGTTAAGTTTGGACGTGTTCTTTAGGTACAGATATAGACCGTTAATCCCACTAAAAGAAAAGATAATGGAATAAGAACTGTGGACATAAATAATATGCCATCCCCTTACCCACACTGGGAAAGCAATACACAGCATTCAGATTTATCATTTAGAATACCTACTAGACAAATACTTTTTTTTCTTTCTGCAAGCTGCTGTGCAACCCACCTTGCCATTCATCTCCTCCTTTCATGCTGTGTCCAGCCTAATCAATGCCACAACTGTTGTCTCTGGTGCTGGTTTTGTGCTGGGTCTTGCTGCTGCTCTTTCCCCTTCTGACTTTGTGAGATGGTGCTTTGCCAGACTGAGACAATCAGCTGGTCGTGATTGGCTCATTACAGATTTACTGCTACTCTGTCTGTAGTATTAGAGGGGTTTTTGTTTCCAGGGCAGCAGTTGGTGGTTTCAGGGGTTTCTAGACAGGAGGAACCCTGCTGTTAGAAAGACTGTGTGTAATTACAATCCTCCAACTAGATCCTTGTGTGTGAGGAAGACACAGATAGAGGGCGTTATATGTGCTAAAACCTGTGGCCTCTGCACCAACTCTGCAACCAGAATGTGAAAACCGACTGCCTTTATCTGACTTTATCTAAGTCAGACTTCTGACTTTTTTTAAGATTTTATCTACCTAACTTTGTCCTTCGGCGTCCTGTAACTTTCATGTTGACATGATTCAAATTATAATTTCACTAACAATCTAAACATCTTTGATGTATTTGCCACTTGCCTATTAATATTTCTATTCAATCTCAATAATTCAACCTCACAACTACAAATTAGCATATGCGTCTTCTAATGCTCAGGTGCGGCATGCATAAGAGCATCACTTGCCTTATTAACGTCTTGGCCTCACCATAGCAACCCCTCCTTCTCCCACACACACACAGAGGTTCTTAAGCAGGCTTTTCATTCTATCCTTAGCCTCGCCCCTCCTGTCTTCTCCTATCTCCTCCTCTCTCCACCCCCACTCCCTTCCTCCCTCCTCTTGTCCATCTGCCATTTTACCCTGAGAGCTGGAGAGTGGAATCAGGGACTCTGCTGTATATGTACACGTATGACTCGGGGATCGCCACCATACACACTTGCACAAATACTGCAGACCAGTCTCCTGGTCTGACTAGATATCCACAAATTTCTCTTCAGTTTTTCCATACCTCTTTGGACCATGCTTCCTGAATATGTGAGTAGTGCAACTAATACATATGGCATGGAAAAAGTGGTTGTTAATTAGTGGTAGCAGTCTCCTGTTCTTTTACAACAACGGTAATCATCTTCAAATCATTTGAAAAAGATTCTAAACGAGCAAAAACATCAAATCTGCTATAATAACGCTTTCATAGGAAAATAATAGAGCTTCATGTTGAAAAGGCTTAAACCTACAATGCTGTTATCTGTTAATGGTTTGCTTCAGTGTAATGTGTTAAAGGCTAATATATGTGAGTCAGAGTTTTGTATTGGAAAGAAAAATCTGTGTGTTAGATATGAAATGAGCAGTCCATCGAACAGTCCGTCCACAGCTTTTCATTTAACAGATGAGTCATTTATTCTGCATAAATGTGAGAACTTTAAGCTTTGTTTGTCATATATAAACTGGGACTGTTGGTGTGCTTCTAAAAAAATAGTTTTTAAGAAGTATTTGTCATTCATCAAGTCTAAAAATAGCAGAAACTAGATGAGATTAACGGAAAGTGAAAATATTCCTTTATTCCACTTCTAAAATCTGATATATTGATTCCATTAAATCTTGAATGGCAGTGAGAAAGAAGCAGAGGGTGATAATGAAACACTAACTGAATGTGTTTAAGTGTCTGAAAGCTCTAAGCTAACATTTGCTTGGATTAACTTGCCTCTTTGCTGGAAAAACTTGCTTAGTGCACCCGTGTGCACTAAGCAAGTTTTTTTTACAGCTATGCTGACGTCCGTACGTCAGCATAGCTGTAAGCCTAAGACCTTCCTTTAGTCCCACAGCATAATCACTTTCCCACAGCTTCAGTGGTTGCTTTTAATGTTGCACATCAAAAGCAACTTTGCTGTCCATTTCAGAAAAAAGCCAGAATAAGTTATATGAGATTGACTGAATCAGTTTCAAGTGTAAAATAAACGTTACAGTCAGTTTTATTTGTGCTGTTCTACACTGAAAACCTGTGTAACATGTGCCTAAATGTTGGGTTAACTGTGCCCTTCATAGAATTTTAAATGATATGTTTGATGTAATGTTATTAGGAAAGACTGAGCTAAAGAGGCATTAAGAAGCAGTGTCAACACTGATTTGGCCTCATGAGACTTAAAAGCCTGCTAAGCCTATCAGAAGACATAACAGGAAACAATCAAGAGGCACATTGTGACCACATGTACTGAGTAGAAAAAGTGATATTTGTCTTGATGCTGAAGGATTTAAGGGTCACCACAGCTGATCCCTCAACATACACGTGATATTAGCTTGTGGTTTTTATAACTATTATATAAGCTAATATGTGTGACGATACAGACCTGAAACCCATCGAATCTCAAAACTAACAAGTAGTTATTTGTTGTGTTCATCTATGTTCATCCATGTGTTGTAAAACTAGAGAAAAAAGCTAAATGTTTGAAATACTCAGCATATGTTACGTAAGCTGATTGATGCTGCCTTTCCAGGAGCAGGGCACGAACTTTTTACGTCTGTTCCAAACAGGATTTTTATACGTGTCCTAGGCCACACTAATAAAAATAGCTCCCTGTGCGAAGCTCCGCCTTTAACATCCATGTAAATATAGCATTTGTCTACAGTTTATCTTGTTAATTCGCATTAAAGTATGTGGCTTGTTTTTGTTGAACTTTTGTAGGATTTGCAGTTCTTATTCAAAAAACAAATTGAAACTGATCAATGATCATCAATGATCGGGGGGAGGGGGGGGGGACTGCACAGAATATTTTGAGGGAATCCAGGTAAATGTCTTTTTCTAGAAAATCATTACAGAAACAACACATTCACCTCAGCAGGTGGAAAAGTGACAGCTTATTATTAGAATTTAGTTGTAAACGATACAGAAGGTTTTTCCCACCAATGTCAGCTAGTCCTTTCAGCGGATGTCCTGTCCTAAATCCTCCATTAATCATCCTGATTAAGACTTGTTCTTCTTGTGAGTGTGATTAGCACACACGGGACCAGAAAAATAAACAGAAACCTGCAGAAAAAACAAACATGTTCTTATCTTTGTGTGTTTCCCAGGTGTATGTGAGACCACAGCATGCATTCGGTCCAGACAGGGCTGTGGAACCCCCAGCCCCCATTTAAACATGTCTTCCCCATCCCTGCCCCGCCCCCTTCCAACTCGCGTCCCGCTCACGTGAGTTCAACCACCCCAGCCAAACGGATCACATTCTACAAAAGTGGTGACAGCCAGTTTGGGGGCGTCAGGATGGCCATCCACAAGCGCAGCTTCAAATGCTTTGACGCCCTGCTGGACGACCTTTCTCAAAAGGTTAGATGAACTATAGTAGAGACTTCTTTTGAAGCTGAATGCTTAGATGCATGCATATAGGTCAGGGGTGTCAAACATTAGGCCTGGGGACTAGAACTGAAGAGTAAAAGACTCCAATATGACCCTTGGACAGCTTTGCAAAATGTGAAGTAGGATATAAATGTATAAATTTTAGACTTTTAACTGTATTTAAGCATTTCCTACTGATAAAGACCTCTCTCATGAACCATCAATACGACACAAAAGTAATATCACAGTGTAAAAAACAAAACAAAAACACAAGAACAGACATTTTCTGTCAATTAACAAAAATGTTATGCTTTATAATTACAGGACAGTCTGAGCAATGAACTACCACAACATTTTCTTTAATTTTATACATTTATCAAATAGTTTCACTCATCTGGCCCACTAAGATATAAGGTGCGGCATGCTGTATGTGGCTTTGACTTTACTGATGCAGGTCTTTTCACCTCTTAACATCCACGCTAATCAAAGGTTATGGTTGGGTTTTGCTTTAGCCACATGATAAATAAGCAATTTTTCAGGAACTGTTTATTTCAAATTAAATCCCAATTATTTTGTCATTACATGTTTGAAACAATTGAAAATCCTACAAAATGTGGTGGATATTTAACGAACCCTAGATGGGTCATCTAGGGTGGATGTTAAATGGCTAAAACGGCGCTTGTCCTGATCAGCAGTGCTTTATACAATGTAGGGAGAGCAATACATGGATATGAGATAGAGACAGATTAACAGTCACATTTGATATTTATCTACAATTTGTCCACAGGTGCCGCTGCCATTTGGTGTGCGGACTGTGACCACCCCTCGTGGCACTCACACCATCAAACACCTGGAGCAGCTCCAGGATGGTGGCTGCTACCTCTGCTCTGACCGACGCCAGGCTAAGCCAGTAAACATGGAGCTGGTCAACAAACACTCAGGCATCTGGTACCATCACAACCGGAGGCCCCAGAGGCCTGAAACATCATCCGCAACACCACCTGGCCATTTGCATATGCCTTACAGACAGCGACGGATCTTGCTGGTGAAGAACAGCGAACCGGGGATGAGGAGGAGCGTGGTCCTGAGCAGAAGGACAGCCAGGAGCCTGAGAGCTTTTTTAGATGAGGTGTCCGAAGTGATGCAGTTTCATGTCCGCAAGATCTACACTGTAGAGGGACGCAGGGTAAAAAGTTATATCTATTTGAATTTGCACAGTAAAACTTTGCAAAGGTTGCTCATTTTAGTGAAAACTGTTGACTCTGGTGAATTGTTTCCAGATTGACAGCGTTCAAAGCCTGATGACTTGTCCAGGTGTTCTGGTGTGTGTTGGCCGGGAAGCCTTCAGCCCCTTGCTGATAAACTTTATTAGGAAAAGTTCAGAAGAGAAACTTCCTGGTCTGGGTCCCCGGACTCCTGGAAATGGGGCACGATCCCCTGCTACTCAAGGAATAAGGTCCCCACCTCATGGAGCTCAATCCAGAGCCAGTGAGTACAGCGAAGGACATGAAAGCAAAAAAAATGGTGAGTTTTTAAGACAACTGGGCAAGTTAACAACAGACAAGTTTTAAAAGGTACAAGAAAAAGAGGCAATAAATTTTGTTAAATATTGCACTTTTCTCTTTTCCTTCAGTTAACTTTGGTCTGGAAACCAAAAAGAGCATCATTCACCCTCGTTCTGATTCCTCAAACCGCTCGGCACGTTTCTCTTTTTCCTCTGAAAAGTCATATGGCAATGGTGTCACCGCATGCCCCCAGGGAAAGCCAGCCATTATGAATGATGACATTGAAAAGCGTGTTCTGGTAAATAAAGATGGCAGCCTCTCGGTGGAGATGAAGGTGCGTTTTCACCTCCAGAATGACGAGACCCTCCAGTGGTCCACTCAAATTAAAAAATCTCCATCTCTGAGCAATGAATGTTGCCCTCTAAGTCAGGCTCAGCCTCATTATCTCCAGCAGGGCCAGTCAGAAAGTTGTTCTGACCCTGATTCAACATCCTTTGATCAGTACGGTGTGGACTATTCCAGCCAGCCGCTGCAGTGCGTGTTGGAAGGGAACCGCTGCCCGTGTTGCCACCAGAGGCATGAACAGCATTACGACTTATGGGAAAACCCTGCACACAGCCATAAATCAGCTCCTGTTCCACCCCCACATGCACCCAGTCACACCCACAATATGATGAGACATACGCACTCTTCTAGCTCTTCCTCATCGTGCAATTCAAGAAGGGTGGTGCGCTGCAGAGCACGGCTCTCCAGCTGCGGGGGTGGCTCAGGTTCAGAGCAGAGCAAACTGGTCCAGGAGGAAATGTGTGTAACCGAGCAGGTTGAGCACAGATTAGAGGTAGAGCAGGATGGGGACACCCATATTGAGGTACACAAGGTGAGCCGGTGTTGCAGTCGAAGTGAAGTGGTTGTCGCGGACAGTAACCTTCAACCACTCAGCAGAAAGTCAGCTGAAGACGAAGAAGATCGCCCGCTATCAGCAGTCAGCAGCTCCTCACATGTCCTTCGGTCGTTGAAAGAGGATGAAGACGATGAGGACGATGATCTGCCACCAAGCATCTCACGGTGTTGCCATAGCAATGAACCGTCCCCAACCCCTGAAACTCAACTGCACAAAAAGCCAACAAATGACGTCTCAGCCAATTCTTTCCACTCTACCGAACACAATGAGCAGGAAGAGCTAGGAAGC